ACGCGTGAAAGATAAAAATAGTATCTTGACTGCGTGCAATGAAGATTTGATTTTTTAGTAAGAGGAAAAATCCTGGTATTTCATCAGTATCTATATAATAAGTATATATATGTCCTTGGTAGGCAAGGGGTTAAAAAGCAAATTCAGTTTAATTCTTCTTGTCTACAATTAATTTTGATTATTGGATACTCTAAAAAACAATAGAGAAAATTATCAGGGAAAATGCTTTATAACTGAGGAAACAGAGACCCCGGTTAAAATTTAACGCTGGATTAGTGCTAATTGGTCCCCAACCAACTGGGCCCAGGATAAAAAGAAAAGAAAATGGTCAGTGATTATTATTTCAAGCAAATGTGTACATGTAGCTCACTTTAACTTAAGAAATTCCATAAACATGAGCTATTATAAACACCACGATTGGCTGCAATTATACCACGGAACTGACCCAAGTTATTAAATCAGGTGACAGTACAGGCAGTAAGTCCCAAGCCTTGACATTTTAATTGACAGCCCTGCTGATTAGTTATTTTTTATCTGTAGGTCGATTCGAATGACAGTCTGGCAAAGATTGCACTCAGATTTGACACCACCCCTTCTGAGCTGACGAGAATTAACAAGCTTTCCTCTCGTATGCTTTTTCCTGGGCAGGTGAGGAACATTACACACAGTGCACACACTACAGAATAAGCTTCCCATGGCAATATGCCATGCCAACTCAATTTTAAGTTTTAATAAACTCCTCAAGACTTTTTATTTGAAAAAAGCATTTATATTAATATTTATTGTCGTTGAATAATAATCATTGTAAACCATAATCAATGTCAATCTTTGTAGATTTTTTGCATTATGAGCCTTTGCGTATGGAACCTGCGCAATAGAAATATTAAATATTATTGTTATTATTATGAGCCAAAGTAGAAAGTGTTGTGCTTAAAATGTATGATGCTCTAACATGGTGCCTATATTCTGGGTTGCATATCAGAAAGCAGTATTTTCATCCATGCTTGTACTTTGAATACATGTATGGACCACTAACCTCGAGTTAGTTTTACTTTTGACCATGCGTACATAAGTACAAGATTCATTTTGTGTATGAACATTCAAACCAAGCTACAATGTAAAGGCTGGCTTCAAGAAAAACTGCCCAGCCCAGCATATGATTTGTATTAAAAAATTAAGATTTTGTGATTGGTCAAGAGCTACTAGGGCACAGACCTGAAGTTCTCTCAGTGCTTTAGTTGTAGATAGACTAATTTTATCCCTTTGGAACATTGGATAGTGCCAGACATAAATGTATGAATGTAAGTCACTATCCAGCAGATACTGTGAGTATTAAGAAAACCATTAGGGACTTGTCCAGTGAATACACATGGGGTGTTATCAAAACTAAGACCCTCATAAACTAAGACCCCCGAAATATGAAGACTAATTGTAACTGAAATAAGGCTAGTCTGTCAAATTGTCTTCTGTCCGAACCAATCCTTAAAATATATATGAAGTTGAATTACGGTCGTTCAAAGACTATAAACCGTAAAACAACCACAAACTATCATCTGCCTGCTGAGGATCCACTTGTAATAATTTGCAGACATATCAGTATTGAGGATGAAAGCCACAGACTACCTGTGTATAATTGTACACTGAAAATATGCCTTACCCTGCCGTTTGGGCTATAAGTTTGGTTGTTTATCTTTGAAAATCGTAAAATTGGCTTTCCACTGGAGATGGATTTTTGTCTTCGTTGCCAGCTGACGTGTCACTGCAACCCTGATGGCGTTACTTTGATCATCAAGTGCATGGTCATTGCAGCGTTATCAGTCAAACATCACACAAACATACGGGCTTTTCCCTTTTCTGGCAAGGCTATAGCCAGAAAAATGCTTTCATAAGGGCAAAAAAAAAAGTATATGCTCCATTGCATTTTTCAAGAGTTTATTATTTTAGATCGTTGCCATCCTGGAGATCACCAGAAACCAGAATACTGATATGTCTGCAAATTATTATTACATGTCTGTTAACAGTACAAGTCTGCTCAAATTTTAAACCAAGCTGAAAATCGGTTGTTTTTACAACTTAAGTCAGAAAGAATTCTTTATATTTTGTTGGCGTTTTTAATACAACAATAATTCCACTCGCGCTTGTTGGATATGAGATAAGTATAGCCAACTCGGCGCTACATGCCTCGTTCACTATCTACAATCTCATATCCAACTTGCACACGTGGAATAATTGTTAATTACACATGATGCTACAATATTAATTTTTGTGTCTTTGGCTGCTATTACAAAATGTAGTTTTGACTTTACACTATGGTACACGCATAGCTGGTTCTTGACAACTTGCATTTTGCAGCCTATGGTAATGGGAAGTGAGTTTCGAACTGTAAAATTGATAGTTATAATATCATTTAAAGCTTCTTTCAGGTGCTTCAAGGTGGCTAAATTAATTATTAAACAAACTATTATTTGACTTTTATTACTATGGGATATCTCTTAAAGGTATTTGAAAAACACATGCTAATTAATCTGATCACATATGATGTTTCTCAACTGTTCTAATTCCAAAGGCCATGGTTATAGAGTGTATTTCCATTTGGCCTAGGTTTTATCTAAAAACCTGTTTGAGGGTATGTGCTAAGGGAAATTATTTCTAATAATTTAATTTCCTGAAGATTTGGTTAATGTTCCCAGATGAATACATTGTTCACTGAGCTGTGTATTAACATTTTAACCACTCATGCCATCTCTGCCAAATTTTTTCAAGGAAATATAATTTTTTTTGGAATTTGTCCAGACAAGAACTTGAAAATTCAATAGTAAGTCAGGCAAAAGCTCACTTCTCTGTATTAAGCAGTGATTCTTTCATGAATAGTCACATTCTCAGCTTTTACATTTTTAGTTGTAATCTGAGCCTTGCCACTCATACATGTACCTCCAAGCTCACTCTATCATAATTTTTATTATTCTTATAATGCATAGTTTTATGTAATTTAAATACTGTTAGCACCTCAGGTTTTTACACTGCTTTTAAAATTTTTCTTGTTTGCGATGGATCTCATTTTATCAGCTGTAAGTTAAGTGATTTTATACAACCTCAAGCCAAGTTTTTCTAAATTTTGAGCTAAAGAAGGGTACACTGTACTTGGGTCATAGCCAAGATTCTTTGGTTTTTAGCAGCAGACTTCTCCATTTGTTATTAACATTGTCAAAATGGACATGAATATTCACCGAAGCAGAGCAAGTCGTGTTGCCTAGTTTTCAGGGCTTTAGCTCTTCTAACAGTGATTATTATTTTCCTTCGTCAAGCAAAACTCAAAATACTCACAAAGAAATCCCCTTGCATCTAAAATATACAAACAAATCATGGCGAAGTTTTGACCAATTTTCAGTCTTGTCAGATGTGCTTAGCAACCAGAAAAATTTCCTTAACATGTGCTTGGGCCAAGATGCTCTTCTGTTTACATATTAACCTTTGTTCAAAGCTTGGGGTCTCCTTAAAATGCAATGGGCCAAATATTTAAACGTAGTTTAGCCAGTGTTTAACAAAACCTTGTTCTAAGTCATTTTCAGTCTGCCCAATGATTTTATCTAAACATCATTTATTTTGAACGGTTTTAGGAAAGCATATTGAGAAGACAGAAAAGTATTTATCTTCTAAAAACAACTCACCAAAGACAAGACCTGTAGGTTCAAAGATTCGTTAAACCGTGGCTTAAGTTAGACTTTGTTTAAATATTATTTGGCCCAATATTTTTATTGTATTTTTCATCATCATTAATCTTGTGTTAGATATGGGAGATTTAGGGTTTTGGGTCGTAGCTAGGATTGGCTTACACATGTACAGAATGCAATAGTGCTTTTTACTTAATGCTTAGACATACATGTATTTACCTCAGTCTTGCATTGATATATTTTTATTGTATTGTTTTCTGATTAGGTTTATTAATTAATCTATTTATAATTATTTTTTGGGCAGACACTGTTTGTTCCAGAAAATCCAACAGAAACAAGGATTCCAGCTGAAAATCCTTCATTAGAACCAGTTACGAAACCTCCACAGCCACTGAATGTTAAGGTACGGAACATGCTCTAATAGTCCAAACTACTCAAGAGCTGCAGGCCTGGGTTCAAGTCCTTGCTGGACTATCACTCATGGTCCTTAAAAAATTAAGTTAAGACAGAATCCACCAAGAAATTGAGTATTTTTAATTTTCAGTGGACAAAAACCTTGTACCAGAAAAATTTTAACAATATCCCATTCTTTTTCACACTTTTGAAGGGCTATGGATCAGTGCTCGACTTTCCGAAAAAAATCTTGGGGCCAGCTGGCCCCCAAGTCTTCATTTGTGGTCGCCAGAACAAGACGTAGTATTCTGGTCACCAAAAATTATATTTTTAAGAATTAATGAAATACAATGAACTTGACATCTTTTACTAAGCCTTACCAGAAAATGAATTGTTTAGACTTCCTTTTGAACTTTCTTTCGAACTGTTTTCACTCGAGGCTTGATTACCAGCCAGTGTTCAGGAAAACGAGCCCACATTCAAGAGTAAATCTCCTCAAACAGGTATTCAAGCTTAAGGTTCAGGAAATGGAATACACAGTTAGATGAACAAGCTTTAAACTTCAATAATTAGGTTATTAAAGAACTAAATCTGCAAACATCTGTTTTGCATGCCATGTATTTGTATGTTCCAGAAATGAACATCGGTAAAACTTGATCTACATGTGATCGGAAGTCTCCAAAATTAAATTAGGCATATACATGTAAGTGAATCACAACATACAGTGTACATACCTTGTGATTACAATGGACAGTTCTCTTGGTCTCAAAGTGACTGGTAACCTTGTAATCTTGCCCTCTATAATCTACATGTATTTATGGTATACAACTCAGCAATGTGGACATTCAGCTTCAGCTTAGTTCCCCACCCCCATGTCTATTTTGGAGATTTGGACTGTGTTTTTCCCCTTTTACTCTTAGCCCAAATTATGCAAATTATGGCAAGATTAATATTTCTTGTTACTCTAATATTGAAATCTGTCGGCAAAATCCTGTGGTGTTACCATTCATATCAGTGAAACCCGTTTGGCAGAATTTTTGCATGGTGCCATTTATTTTGTGGGATTTCACAAAAAGATATTTTGGAATTTTGGTGAAAATTTTCTTTAGCCTCTACTAGGAGTAAAAAGTTACAGTTACACTACAATTTTATTAATTTTGTAGGAGAATGGTACTGCACATGAGGGTGATCACGAAACAATTAAACTAACCAAGGATGTGTCATGGGAAGAAGAGGAAGAGGAAGTTACTGAACATTATCTCAAGATTTATGCCAAATACATAACTGATGGCCAGGTGATTTTCAAATAATATTATCATTATGCAGTGTAGTCAGTAGAAAACTTAAAGGAGCCGTGTCATGAAATTTAGCCAAATTAGGAAATTACAAAATACCTGTTAAATTTAGAGAAACATAAAAATAACCGCTTAAAACTTTAAAAGGAAAGTAAAAATAACATAACAGAAACAACAGATGTCACAGATGAGCGAAACTGAAGAAGACTGAAACGGATTGAAATCAGGATTTTTGAAAACTGTTCAGCCTAACAGTTTTTCAAAGTTGATCCCTGCTGCTTGCAACTTCAAAAATAATGCTCAGGAGACATATTTGTTTGTCTGGGATCTCTGATTTTTTCATAAACCTGTAATTTCTTTGCTTACTTTAAGTTCCATAGCGATTGAGGGCGAGTAATTGCCAAAATTAAACAAAAGGAACTGGACTGCCGTGACACAGCCCCTTTAAGCAATGATGATGTCGACAGCACTGAAAAGGTCCCAAAGAAAGGTTAAATTCTTTCAAACTAATCCAATAACATTTTTCATGAGTCCATTGTCATGGTTGCCGAAGATCCCCAATAGGCACTGGTGGCTGACAACCAGGGTTTCCTTTGTCACTTATGAATAATAATATTAGGGTATCAAAGAAAATTAATTCTGAATTGTACAAGGTTGAATACTGGATTAACCTATGGAAAGGTTTAACCTACAAAAATAATTATCCCAGGAATGTGATAATTAGTTTTAAAATGTTAGAATATCTGATGTTGAGTACCGAGGTCCTTCAAAGGAGGCCATTGCCTCACTATTATTTTTTTTGTTGTTTTCTCAGGGCATTGCCAATGGTGTTCTATTGATTACTCCGCACTCTGTCATGTTCAAGCCCAATGTGTCGGACCCTTTGGTGATGGACAGGGGACAGGATACATACAGCATAGCCACACTAATGACGTCCGTCACAAGTGCTGCAATGTATACAGATATAGCTGCTATGGCAATTCATGATCCTCTAAAACCTGGAAGGTGAGCCCAACAGTACAGTCGCAGGGCACGGAAATAATTGAGTTCTAGCGTGTCTTTTGGGTAAGCAGATCTCACATTTTAGGTGCCTGGGGTGACTTCTTGCTTGTCTTACTCAACAAGGGCAGATTTAGGGGTGGGTCCAGGTGGTCCCTGCCCCTCTTAAGATTTAAGCCCTTTATTCTTAGTGTCTCATTTTCATTGAATATTTTTTAGGTTTTACTTGGATGCTGCTGCGGCAGAGACATTGAGTCGTCAAAACAGCATAGATGTTGAGACAATATCAGAATCAACTGTGTGTGACGACTCTGGTAAACTCTGTACAGATCAAAATAAGCCATCAGAATCATCACCCTCCTTAAATGTAAATGAAGTAAAAGAAAGGGTGGAGAGCTCAGTTGACACTGCGGACAGATGCACCTGTGTTGCGTCAGGGAGTACAGTTGTGGAAAATACTGAAGACATTAAAGTTATTGTACATGATCTTCTTGAAAATCTCATAAACAAGATAACAGAACTTGAAAATAGCCACGAAGGAGCCTCAGTGGTTGTGAAAGACGGTATTAGGGCTAGGGATATTCACTCTGTTTCACCAATGTCAGAAGACTCGGGAATTGGGTGTTCCCTGGGTCATACAGATGATGGTAAAAATGAAGACTCCGAGCTTGTTGATCAAAAACATGATGGTTTGAATGTTTCAATGACCTCTCAGCAGTCAAGCGAGCATGTAAGAGTTGACCATGAGCAAGGTCAAGTTGCTTATGTTAAGGAGTCTATGTCAGAGTCATTGTTTGCAGCTTTAAGCAGTAATGTCAAGTATTGGCTAGGACAAGGGAGTTATGATCAAACTGGTAAGATCAGTGTTTTGTTTTTTCTTTTTCACATTAATCAATGGCATTTCATTGCACTTACTTAAACTCACACTAAAGAGATACAGTGAAACCTGTATTAAGCGGACCCCCTTGAGACCGTCCCAAGTGTCTGCTTTTTAATAGAGAGTCAAGTCAAATCAAATCAAATCACTTGTTTATTGTCCCTTTTGCAGTCAGAAGACTGAATAATAGGATACCTTACAAGCTGTGATATAATTATATACTAATATGCTACATTTATTGAGAAGATTGATATTTAACACCAACAAAATTTGAGAAACGTTCGGTCCTTGTGGCCATGGGCCTGCTAGAACTCCCTGATCTTAGACACACACTGGTAGATATAGGTACCACTCTGTTGTGTATTAGAGTGTCTAGTTAATAGAGGTTTGTAAAAATTGCACAATGTTTGGTAATGATTACCATTCAACGGTTACTCTGTACTGTGAGAAAGTTCCATGTTGTTAAGGGTGCTAAGGAAGCTGTGCTGTACTTTGTGCAAGACTTTTAGGTGAACTTTGATCGTGGATGACAATCTTATGGCCGAATATCAGTCTAATCTACAGTTTTCTGACAGCTAATTGTATTGATTTAACTTCATCAATTGACTACAGTTCGTATTTCAAGGATGTAATCCAATACTACTATTGTCAATTCAGTCCAGTGTCCGCTTAATATAGGTTTTTAACAATTATAGAAATAAGCCAGATACAATTTATTTTAGTGTCAGTGTCCGCTTGATAGAGGTGTCTGCTGAATAGGTGTTTGTTATAAAAGGAAGTAATAAAGTAAGACATTAATTTTGGGACCCACCTTAGTGTCCACTGAAAGGAGGTTTCACCATAACATTCTTTTTCAGTTAATAAGGAGGAGGTGCATATAGTTCCAAAGCCTGCTACACCTATCCACCACCAGCCATTATATCTTTGCTTAAGAATTAGCAAAAAACACTGGTGTCGGCATCACAGTGCCACAGGACATCCAGTCTACCCCGGAGAGGAACTTTGTGATAGAGATATGAAAAGAAGAGAGTATTGGTTTGCTATTCCACCGTCAAGGTTGGTACACAGTCACTTTTAGTGTCATTACCATCTTTTGGGTTTAACATTTATGCATGTTTATGCCTAAACGTTGTAAGTCTTTGCTTAACATAATCTTTGTGTTTGGCAGATAATTTAAAACAAATGTCAATATTTTTACAGCTAGAAGCTACGAGTTAGAAAGGCAGGGCTGTCACTAAGAGTGGGGGGCTGGGGTTTTTCCCAGGCTACTACGAGTGTGAGCCCCGTCTACTCTTATAGGAAACAAAGGAAAATAGAACCAAAAGAACTTGCATCAATTTAGGTTTTTGGGAAACTGCCCACCTACCCCTTCCCTAAGCCAACATTTTGCCCTAAACGAGAAGTAAGTGTTAATGTTGACTTAGGGGAGGGGTAGGTGGGCAGTTTCTCAGAAACTTAAATTGATCCAAGAACTTCCTAGCTGTACAATTCCCCTCCTACTAATTGCATATACCCGGTGACTTGAGATTTTAGCGACAGCACTGGAAAAGGACTATTTAATAGCCCATTTGGCCTTTGGTCTCAAGGGCTAATGACTCAGAGGCCATGAGGGCGAGAGGAATAATTGTTTTAGTAAAATCCAACTAGTTGGTCAAAAATATCTCGACAAAACAACTTAAAGCAAGACTTTTATCCTTTTTTATCGCCAAAACTCCGTTTTTTAAGCTACTAAATAACATATACAGTCGAACCCGCTATTTTTCAGTCCCGAGGAAATGAAAAAAGTTAGTAGGGGCTTCAAATAACATAAGTATAGGGTAAATCTAAGGGCATTCGATCTTCCTTCGAAATAGCGGTGACTTCGAATTAACCGAGTTCGAAATAGCGAGGTTCGACTGTAGCATAGTAGTAGCTCAACCAATCAGAACGCAGCATTGATAACAGACCACCAGTTGGATTTTACTAACTACAGTTAGATCTTCTGGGATGTTTTTTAGTCCAGAACTTAGAGTAAAAAAGTGAGAGTTGGGTTAAAAAGTGGTTGCTGTGGGTCGGTGACTTTGATTTAACAATGTATAAGAAAGGGTCCAAAAAAAACTTGCAAAAGGACAGGTTTATAACTGGACAGCTAATAAATTTGTGATTAAAAAAAGGCAAGCTCAGACATGTGTCCAAGATTTTAAAATCGACTGTGCACATGTGCTCGTACATACTAGCATATAAGAGATGTTAAAACTTTGAGTAGGATATTGTGTAAACAAAAGTTATCCATGTATTTGAAATCAGGAACATAAACTTTTCTGACATCCTCTGTTCCTATCCAATTTCTCTCCTACAAAAAATTAATATTTATTTAGGTTTGGGGCTAAAGTTGTCGTGCATTATCATGTTTTTTTTATCCTTTTCCACATCACACTCGTGTAGTGGAGCGTGGGCCAAAAATAGGGCACCGTGGCAAGAAAAATAAAGGGCAGACTGCTTCTTTTTAAGTCTTCTCTCCAGTATTTAGTTATTATTATTTTTTTTTTGCAACAGCTAGTATTTTGGGGTAGTCAGAGTTTTTCTTGTATTCACAGGACAGAGCAAGTGTATAGATTCTTTCAAAAGTGGTGTCCAAACATACATAACGCACTGGATGATGATGAAAGTGAAGATGATGAAATGACAGATCCACACTACTGTACTGCGGAGGAAGAGGTTAATAGACTAATTACCCTCCCCACAGACGTCCTTTGGGGTTCGTTTGTCACGCATTCATTTATGCGTGACAAACGAACCCCAAAGGACGTCTGTGGGGAGGCTATAGACTAATAAGCCTGTTCACGGTCTTCCATTTTTCCTTAAGATCATCAAGATCGATTGCTTACCATTCTGTGCGGCCATCTTGGTTTCAAATGAACCGAGGGGCCTACACTTAATTCCATCCGCCAAACTGACGTTGACACATTAATGATTCGTACACAAAGTAGGGTTAGGGTTAGGGTTCGTACACAAAGTAGGGTTAGGGTTAGGGTTTGGGTTAGGGTTAGGGTTATATATTTAAATCAAATTGGAATTCGTCACCAAATCCTCGGTGGTGTAGGGGTTAGAGTGATGCACTGCAGATCGGATGCTCCGAGTTCGACTTCCACTCATTCTGCTATCCTAAATTGTTTTTTTCCTTAAGAATTGAAGACACTTTGACTTTTATGAACATTTCATCAAGAAATTTCATATAAGAAAAGTGAAATGTCTTGTGAGAGGAGGATGTCAGTTTGGTGGATGGAATCAAGTGACGACCGAACCGAGGGAGTGGGTGTCAGGGTTGATAGCGGTGGGGGAAGTGAGGCCTTGTGATAAACTGTCCCATCATCCCTTAAGTAGATTTGATAATCATCCCCAGGCTGGACATAGGGGTTTATAGCAGTGTGGAAAGGGAGTTCTCCTCCCAAACCGTCCTCTCTCCCTAAGTAGATTTAATACTCATCATTTGGCTAGACTTGGCACATTGTGAAACTAAGATGGCCACCCTTTAGGGGTTGGTGCTCGATCCCAATGATCTTACAGAAAAATAGGGGACTGTGAACAGTCTATTGTTATAAAAGAACATAAACAGTTTTCTGTGTCACTCAAGTAAACTTCATTTTAGTATAAAATGTTTCAGAATCAGTCTCGTTTTGAAAGTGAGGGTTTTTTGGTACTCTGAATTAGCCAGTTGCTTTTCTTGTGTATTAATACAGTGGAAACTCTTGTAAGTGACAGCCCCAAGGGCAAAGATGGAGTGGTCGCTTACAGGAGCTGATTACTTACGAGGATTATTGATCCTCAGAGGGTCTATTCATAGTAAAGAAGCGTTTTGAACACATCTACATTTTGGAAGAGAATTCTTAACATGCAATATGTATTTTCTTGTTGTGTCCCTAAAAGCTCTTCGCATATCCTGACTAGTGACATTCAGCAAACATACAGATCAAACCATGAGCCAAGTGGTCGCTTGAAAGGGTGTAAAAAAAGCATGGAAAATTCTAATACCGTCATCCAAAAAAGTGGTGGCGGTTGCTTACGAGAGGTTCCAACTTTAGTGATTAAACTGAGAAATTTTTGGTGTTTTGGATGGTTGGTTGCTTATAGGAGGTGTTTGCTTACAAGAGGTGGTCGTACATGGAGGTTCGACTGTATTGCACCTATCCTTTCAAGCTATAATGCACCAAAGAGGCTCACGCGTGTTTTTTCCGTTTCTTTTTGTAGGGTTTAGATTTAGTGGAGACATTTTATTCAAATAGTCCTCCAGTTCATTCACATCCAAAGGTAATGAAAGTGTTTCCAGAAAGCAGACACCTCATTATTATGGACAGTTTGCTTTGCCCCTGGGGAAAGAAATCCCCTCCATTTTCTCTAAATTCAACCCGCTTAATACGGAAACCTTGTTAATACAGGCATTTTCAATGACCCCCTTAGTGTCTGTATTAATGGCGTTTCACTGTACTTGTCTGGACCTCCAGACATGACCTTTTTGCAAATCCCGATGCGGGTGACATACGGTACTCTTGCTATGAGGAGGTCTGAAAGTAAAGGGTGAAATGAAAATACTGTTAGACTAGGTCTTTATATCTGAGAACATTATCATGTAAAAGGTAAGGGCTTTCTTTCCTATGGAACAAAGCAAACTGTCCATAATAATGAGGTGTCCATAATTAAGTCATAGTGGGTGTACGTAAAGTGGCGTTTGACTGTGCGGACACTTTTTATGGCCCCCTCAGTTTCCATATTAACAGGATTTACTTTACTTTGAATAGTCCACGCGGAAATGGAAGAATACCCATGACTTATCCCATTGGTTTCTGTCTTTCTCACAGCTGACCAAAGCTCTCAGCGAGGGAGACGCACCCAGGGTCAAGAAAAGTTCACGTGGACTGACAGCCAAGCCTGGAAAAGCTGCCAAGGTTATGGCAAGGTTAGTTTATCTTGCTACAGTACAAATGGTGGTCCATGATTAGAAACTGAAAAACCGCATTTGCGCCTCTCTAATGTACATGTATATCTCTTAACCCTTCACTCCTAATGGTACGCTACATCAAAATTCGAGAAGAAATTCAAATTTCATTTTTAAAAATATGAGAAAGCAAATAGTATCGCGTGAAAGGGTTACTAGAGAGGTCTCATTTATTGGTCACATTATAGGATTTCATGCACAGACTCAAAAGTTACATGTAGGACTACACAAGAAAATAAATAGTACCATTGAAAAGTACCGCTAAAGAGGTTTCATTTGAAGAACAGAATGGTCACACGATAGGATTTCATCCACAGACTCAAAAGTTATAAGAGCCACTAACACGCTCCTCCGCGCGAAACGCCCCCAGCGGCGAAGAGCGAGGAGAAACGGATGTTTTCGCCGGCTAACAACACTCGTCATAATCGCAACACTCGTCACAGTCACAACACTTGTCAGAGTCACAACACTCGTCAGTGTTACAACAGTCGTCAAGCTCACAACACTCGTCACAGTCACAACACTTGTCAGAGTCACAACACTTGTCAGAGTTACAACACTCGTCACAGACACAACTCTTGTCACAGTCACAACAGTCGTCAGGGTTACAACAGTCGTCAGAGTGTTTTGCGTAATCGAATTTCCTTCAAGCGCGTGGAGAGTCTCCTTGTCTTTTCTTGACTTTTATTTAGCGACTCTGCGCTTGATTGGATCTGCCTTCCGCTTGCGGCTTTACTTATCGCACTGGCTGGTCTGGCCCCCGAATTAAAGTACCCGTTATCCGAATAGAAAACCAACTGCGTATGCTTCCAAGTTATAAATCCGAGCAATGTTTCAAAAAATACGTTCGGTGACATTTAATTAGCCTGTTGTCACAAGCAGGCGTTGTTAGCCAGTCGTCACACGTCACTGTTAGAGCAGGTGATTGGTCATGCGCAACTCCGCTGCATTATACTGTAAGGGGGAATTTTCAGTGTTTTTGACTTAATCGTTCATCTTGTTGTTGTGAAATCTAGGATAAAGTCATGGAAAATTTGAGCTCTTGTCAAAATCATAAAAAGAATGTTACGGTGAAATTGCGACAGGATTTCATAAAAATTATAAAAAAAAGGTCTTTTGAAAGAAAAAATAAACAAGAGAAGCATTCTGTCGATTGATTTTGTTGCTCCAAATGACTTAATGCAGATCCCGTGAAAAATTCAAAGAGAAGAATAATCCTTTTTCCTTCGGTTATGTTACAGCTGTTTAGTTCATTAATATTTCTGTTTTAAAATAATGGTAACAGGACTTCGTGTCGTCGAGTTCGGTCTGTAATCATACTCGTGAATAATCAAATCGGATTCCAGCTAGGCGGTCGTCCGATTTTGTTAGTCACTCATATTGATTGCAGACCGAATTGGACTCCACTTCAGTCCTGTTACCATTATCAACAAAATGAAGTAAACAGCTGTGACACAGCCCCTCTGTGGTGAGGTAGAAAAACGTTTTGGCAGTTACTAAGGAAGGAACTAAAGCCGGAAAGGGAAAAAAGATTAGTGTCAGGGGCAACGAATGACTGTTTTCTCCGACTGTAAAATATTTGTTGGGAGAAGCAAAATTTGCCTAGAATACTCTATGGCTTGAGGAAGGCTAAAAAATCTCTAGATTTCATGTACATTGTACTATTTTCGAAGCATATCTAATAAATTCCCGAAGATTTTTGAAAGTTCAATTTTTCGCATTTCACTGCCCAGGTTATGCTATTTTTCGTAGACAAAGGAAACCTAAAAATTTCGGATTCGAAAATACGATGGAGAGAGGAATAAAAAAAATTCTTACTTTCGTAAAACTTTAAATAATTGCATCTAAAAATTTTCGGGAAAATAATACTGAAGCCTTGTAATGTCGAAAAGACTCAAGTTGCCATAGGATAACCGAATAGCCGATACAAATTTTATAGCGTCGTTTAGAATACAATTCTAGAGGTCTAAAAGTACTCTGGATAGCCTAAAAAGTGTTTTCAATGCTTTTCGGAGGGTACTCCTGTTAGTGTAACTAAACGATCGATCGTGATGTTAGCCAGCTCACGTGTAGTCAACCCATGACAATCACTGAAATACCATAAGCTTTTTACCTGGTGATGATCAGGTACTTTATTCTTGTTTCCGTTGTGTCACGAAATTTCTCAAAATTCAAACAATGGAGCCTACCACCAAAAATAACTGCTCAAAATATTTAAAGAGGGTATGCATGACAGTGTCAATACAAAAGGAGGTACGGATGGACAATCCTGAAGAAGATTTGAAAGGATTGCTATTGTGGTCTTTGAATGAACTTGTTGGCCTAACAGCTTTTCAAAGTTCATTCTTGTTGTTTGCAACATTTTGTGTAAAGCTTTTGGAGAGACATTTGTTTGATAGGAAGCTTTGATCTTGTCTTTTACAAGTGAATTCCTCGCTAGCGTCAAGTTCCTAGGGGGAAAAATGGTGTGTTATAGGCAATATTGAATGAATAACAACTTTGTTAATGTGTCAATCTTTTAGCTGGCTGCACGTATCCAACTAATCGTGGACACCTAATTAATAAAATCTGTTTAAGTTTATAATTACATTTGATAATATTCACAATGATTATTTACAATGTAAAAAATATGAAATAAAATATCAATAAAATTACTTTAATAGCGTTAAAAAATCAAAAAAATAATTACAATTTTTTTTTCTAAAAGTAAGCGAGAGCTCAAATTAACAAATACAGTCTCAAGTATGAACTAGACATCCGTGACACAGGTCCTTTTATAAGAAGTTAGTCGCTGGTCAGGTTGAAGGTTCCTTGATATATATGGTACGAGAAACTTCACGTCTAAGGTTAACAGTTCATAGAGCGTCAGTGTTATCCCAAAAAATTTACGGTTCAGATCGGGTTTTTTCAGTGTAATCCAAAGTTTTGTGTACACACATAGTACCAACTCCGACTCTCTCTCTCATCATGTGCTCGCTGTTTTCTTTTAATCATACCGTTCTCGTTGTCGATAGTCCCAAGCCGGATTTTCTGGAGGATGGCTTTCAGTTACCAGACATGGATTCCAAGTCAGAAATCCTTACTGAGGACCGATTGATCGCTGTAAGTAATATTTAATTCTTTTAATGCTGTCAGCCACCTAAATCGATGTTCAAAAAAAAACTTAATTTTCGTTTTCTAAAATCCTGGCGAGAATACATTGTCACGGAAGTGTATTTTAAAGAATTTTCATTTGGATGGTAACACCAAAGGATTTTATTCACAAACAAGTCTTCGTAGCCGGCGGTTTTTAAAAAGGAGTTTAAGATATCGCAAAGATGACAGCAACGAGAGCACCGGAAAAGCTGTAGGTTAAATGAGCTAAACAACAACTTACACAGTTCGGGAGTATGCCAGTTGTGGAAGAAGCGAAACCAATGGTCTACGTCACCAACCATAACATGATAACCATGACGATGGTCATATTCAAAACATACAAAATGGCGGACAAGGGAGAGGAAAGAGTATTGACCATAATTCTCGTTTATTCCTTGTTTTATCGAGCCTTTTATTTGTCTTCTCGTTACCATGAATTGGGAAGTACCTTGAGGACAGGGAGTAACCATTCTTGCGCTATAGTTCTAGCTTATCGCGCGCTTAGTGGACACTACGTAGTCACTGCGTAGGTAATCAGTACTTCGAAAATAGGTAAGCACGCTAACAAGTTTGTGCCTATTTATTTCATTGATTTTTTATATTATAAGAAAAAAGAATGCTTTGGAAACTACTAGGAATAATATAATTTATTTCCTTATGTTTGCAAAGAGTAAGTTTAAATGTAATTTTGCCCGTTGTTTCTGTTTCTCACGGGAGTGAGCATCTTCGGAGACCCAGGGGCGGTCATTGGGGCCGGAAGAAAAGGCTCGACGAAAGTTTTCAAGCACAGGCGGACGAGGCCCTGGGTGCCGACTCTCACCGGCCATTTCCAAACGGTCAAGCGAATGCTGGCTCCTGATTGGGCACAAAAAATGCTTTGTATTATTGTGCCCAATCGACGAGCAGCATCTCCTGAGTTCTTTTCGTGAGTTCGTACACGACGGCTATTGACCCGATCACGGCTTGTCTGGCTTATGCACCAACGGAATGCACGCAATCAGGAAACTTTCAGTTTGATATAAACTCTCCATTTCAAAATACTGTCTACCCGAAAACTAAATACGCTCTCGCCCATACTAAATAAACAGTACCATGTGTTCTGGGCGTGGTTGAGGCCCCATGCCCCTTAACGAGACCTTATTAAAACAGGCAGCTAAAAGACTTGAATTGCGCGATAGATGTTGAAGTCGAATGCGGTCTACAGCACAGTATAATGGCGTTTTTAACTTTCTTTTACATGTTTCTTTACAAACAGCTCCAAGCGATATCTGTATAGTCAGGTCTCTCTTAACGGACACCTAAATAAGACGGACGCCTCCCTAGAACGGACTCTTACGGTAGGGGTCGGATCATTTTAGGACTCTTGGAAACTACCCACCTACCCCTCCCCTAACCCAACATTTTGCAATAAGTGAGACGCAATTGTTAACGTTGAGTTAGGGGAGGGTTAGGTGGTTAGTTTCTCAGAAACCTTAATTGATCCGGGGTCTCTGCCTTTCTTTACTCCCCTTATTTGACTCTCTATAAGACGGACATCAATCTTGGAGGGACACTTGGTGCCGATCCCAAGATGTCCTTGTTGGAGAGAGTTGACTTTATTGTTTAACCCTTTAAGCCCAATATCCAAATACAAATTCTCCACACTAGTGTCTATACATTGCCTTATAGAATTGGTCGAGAGAATTTGATCAAAAATCAAAGCATTTCTCCTTTGTTCATCATTTTGTTAATTCTTCCAACCTTTTTTCTTGATAATGTATTGATATAGTTAGGAGAAATACATGTTGGTAACTCTTGAAACTTAAAGGGTTAAAGATATTTTGCTTTCCGTCCTGAAAATCCCAAGTGAGACAAAAATGTGCAATTTGCATCCCTCAATCTCTGTTATAGATCGTTAGACATCGGGGTGTTGACAACCGAAATCGATGCTTCTGCATGTCTCGCACGCCCATAAAACAATCCAAATTGATTCTTTAACAATTTGTCAAGCTTTTCGTCGTGATGTCTAGTCGGTATTTAACAAGGTACAATTCGGAACGGTTCTAGAACGTTGCTGTTGGACACTCTTTGGAATAAAAGAGTTAATTGCCTTTTTTGCGTTCTTCAGTTAAACAGAAATCTTCCCTCGAGGACTGTGGGTCACTGTTGGGTGTTGGTCTATAGCACGTTCCAGCATGGATTCTCACTCAAGACACTTTACAGAAAAATGGAGTATTACGACTCACCTATCCTCTTGGTAGTCAACGACGGTGAACACCAAGTGAGTACCAAACGGTTCATGTGGTCGTCACACAACGCTCCTCTAGAAGGAACGTTACGTGACGACCTCTTAGAGTTGCGTTACGGAACTTATAATGCTTGATGTGACTTGAATGTTCTAGATTTATCTTCGACTTCGATTCAGCTCTAATTAGATCATAGCGGAGCCCCTTACGTCTCATTTTAATCTTATTGTATTAGGTTTATGTCCTTGTTCACGGTCACTTGAAAAGCAGCCCTTGCTGACAGTATTTTAACGTGGTTAGATGAAGGTCATTCAGGGTTGTCATTAGGGAGCTTAAGCAACAGCGTTTTTGAGCGACGGACGTCAACCGGAAGTGGACTTTTTGCATCATTGGGGAGTGGTTTGGTTGAAACTCTCGGGTAAATCGTCTTTAAAAGAGAAAAGAAACTCAACAATACAAGTTTGTTTGCGTCAAGGCATATAAAAAGGGAGAACGCCTCACTTCCGGTTGACGTGCGTCGCTCAAAAACGTCTTTGCTTAAGGTCCCTATTAAGAGCCGGGGGGCGGGGATTTTCCCCGGCTACTAAGAGAGTGGCTTCCGGCTACTTTTATTGGAAAATAGAAGAAAATAGAACCAAAAGAAATCCCTAGCCGTTTGATTCCCCGCCTACTTGTTGTATTTACCCGGAAACTTGAAATCTTAGTGACAACCCTGTGACATTGTTACCACATAAAGTCTGCGTAAGGAGCAACATGGCGGGAAGGATGAGATTGACCCGTTGATACAGGTCCCGGTTGTTCAAACGTTGGATAGCGCTATCCACCGGATAAATCACTATCCAGCGGATAAGTATTAGGGAAAACAATTGCGTCATCCACTGGATAGATTTTTATCGGGTGGATAGCGCTATCCAACGTTTGAACAACCGGGGCCAGGACTTGTAAGGCCCTGCTATTCGAAGGGACAGACGACAAATAACCATGAGTCAAACTGTTCCTAAGTAGGATGTGCAAACAATACAGGCTAGCCTGATTCTCATACCGTCGGAGGTATTACTGCCTCTTCTTGCCCACCCTCCTTGTCCGATGGGGGGGTTAAGATCGGGGACAGACAATTAAAGCCTAGGGGTACTTAACCATTTACGCGGGAAAACCGGAAGTTCCTTTTGTAAAATCAAATGGTTCGTCTTATTCCATTTAGAAAGCTTCAGAAAATATGGGCTGTGATTTGAGGCGATGCAATTTTTCAGCTCTTTTTAGTCTGTTCAGCTGATTTGGAAATACTTTGTAACGGGTCATTCTCCCATTACGTCAGATTTTATAGTTTTATGTTTATCCACATGATTTCCTCCCGGGTTGTTTGTGTAAGTGGTAAGCACCCCTGGTTTCCACGAGCGACGCATTAGAGTGTTGTACCCAGTGAAAACAATTGCTGATGTAAGCGCAAGAGCATAAGTAAAGAACGTGGAAACATTTTGATTGTTGTGCTTGTTCCCGTGCCTATGCTTGCATCTAGACCTGTATTCACAGTGAGACAAGATCTATATTTCGCCTATATTTAGTTAACTAGTGAAAAAAGGCTTTAAAATGACACTTGGCGCTGTGCCATAAAGTAATATAAAATAACCTGATAACGAGGCTAAACGTGCTCTTGAAGGAATAGTCTGGATTTTTTTGGAATGGCCATTAGTATAATGCCTTTGAAAATAACTACTTTATATTTTATTTTTGTCAGACGTTTGGTGCTCTGTGCTCCTGCCCGTTAAAAGTCAGTGAAGGATTCTATGGAACAGGAGAGTCGTTCCTGTACAAGTTTGACAAGAATGACGTCAAGGTATGTATTAACCAGCAATGGTGAGCTTAGTGAGTTTACGCAACAGGACAGCTGAAGGAAGATGACAGCAAGACGTTTGTGTGAGACAAACGTGACAGAGCTATTACTTGCGAGTTTTGTCGTGTTCTGGACTTTTAAAAACCGATCTGTTTAAAGGAGGTGGAATTAGGCGGAAAATTCTTTCAAACGTGACTTTTGTCACGCTAGTCACGCAAGATTTGCCGTCTTCTTTCCTCCGCCGTCCTTTTGCGTAAGTTCACCAATTACTCTGCTTAAAAGCTAACGGTCCATAAACATTAAATTGAGCCGTTGAAAGAATACGTTGTCTTTCACATATGAGTTTGTTGACCAAGCTTGTGATCAAGGATTTGGCTGTATATAGATTGCCTGCAAGTTTTGTTATAACGTGTTTTATTTGATTTTACTGTTCCCTTTTGTTGTAGACTTTCGGTTGGACTGGAGAGAACCACTTTTTCATCAAGGGATCAAAAGACAGCTTAGCTATTGGGAGCGGAGGGTGAGTGTCAGTAAAAGCAAAACCTTATAAATGTGGAATCCATTCAAGCGATTTTTTGTTTACTCCAGCAAGGCACACGGTCCCCTATTTTCCGTAAGTTCCGCCCCTCGGTACATATGAAACCAAGATGGCTGCCCGTACCGGTAAGTGGTCGGGTAATCCTGAAGATCTTACGAAAATAAATAGGGCACTGTCAACTGTCTACGAGGCACACTAAGACCTACATAATTCATGGGTGCAAAGTAAATCCCACTACTGACGTTTCTTGGATAAATCCAAGGCATTTAAGACAGTCGAAGCTCTTCTTATAAGTCTCCAGTGTCGAGGCTGTACATGTATGTATTCAGTTTCACTTTATTGTTTTGCCAAAATGACAAGAAAAAACAAGAAAATCTAATTAAAAAGTTAATGGCGAGTAGCCCGTGGGAATCTTACACGCTTTAATAAGGAAAGTCAGGGAAGTTTGACAACTGATGTCTGTGGCTACCATGTCTGTATTTTGGGTATTCGGCAACTAATGCTCAAGGTTATACAGAACATGCCTGTAACTTTAAAAAAAACAGTTAAGAATGATTAGTAATGAAAGCTGATGTGAAATCGGAGATGTTCGGGTTAGCCTCTGATACTAAAGACTTTTTCGTCCAGTTTTGATTGTACTCATTCCCTTATTTCAGTGGAAACTTCGGCCTTTGGTTGGACGAAGATCTCTACCACGGGAGAAGCCATCCGTGCGCGACTTACAGCAATGTGCAGCTCTCCTCTCAAGAGGACTTTCTCTGTAGTGGTCTGGAGGCCTGGACATTCGTTTGAGGCTACTGAGGAACACTTCCATCCAGAAGGTTTCCTTTTTAGTAGTGCTATTGATGGAGCTTTACCTTTGGCTCTTCCTGGATTGTCAAATCCTTAACTCGAAAAATTTCAAATGTTATTTGTCAAATTGATACTGAGAAAGGAATGTTACCTAGCTGAAGTGCTGCCATGGTGGGAAGACTCAGAAGTCAGAATGACATTAGAGAGCTTAAGATTCGAGAACGAGGACGACTACGAGATCGACATTTAACCCTTTAAGTCCCAATAGTGACCAACATCAATTTTCTCTTGACAATATCCGTACATTGTCAAGAGATACGGTTATGAGAATTGACAAAATGATTACCAAAGAGAAAATTCCTTGATCTTTGAACAAATTCTCTCAACTCATTCTTTAACGAAATGTATGGAGACCAGTTTGGAGAAATTGTTTGTGGATATTGGGACTTAAAGGGTTAATATTAAGTTTTCTCGACTATTCTCTAAAAATGGACACCCCGGAAAGCTTCACCACAAAAGTTAGCTCGCTTATTTCCGTTGAAGGAGGTTAAGCCCTTTCGCGATCGCTAAATGTTAAGATTTCTAACTTTTGATAACTTGTTTCCGCCACTACGACATTCTCGCTAAAACTCGTAGTAGACTGACGACGGCTACCACATTTTCCCGCCAAAATAACGTTGGTCAGCGCGGGCGCAGTGCTTAGTATTAGGAAGATCTCGTTCTCGTAGTCGTCCTCGTCTTAGAATGTAAAGCTTCTCTATTGTGACTGAAGATGGGGACGAAAGAAACAGTAATAATGTAGTCAGTTCTCACTCTGCCAGCAGAGCTTTTCACTCGATTTTAGAGTACCCGAAAAAGACTGCATGAATCGAGAATCGAGAAAGATCTTTGTTGAGCATGCGTTTCATGTTGCTTGGATACATTTTCGAATCCAGGCCTAACAGCCGTGCGCTTGGTACAGTGGGCTCAGTTACGACCATCGGTTTATCAATTAACAGATGCTCGTACACGACCATTGATTGGCGCGAAGTCCCAGAAGTTCGGGATGCGTCAATCTCGTTTCCAAAGACTGCGATCCTTTTGGTCAGCACCATGGATCACTATCCTCTGGTAGAATCCGAAAAAAAAATCTCTGATTGGCCGATAAAAACGTATTCATCACTTGCAAACGATTTTGTAAACCAAAAGAGCCTTGAGCGCGTGACAAGTTATGTGTGTACACACCAATCTGATATGACTTAAAACCGTTAAGAAAAAAAGTTTATCTCGATAAGTCACGAAACCACGCTACAATGTCATTTGTCATGTGTGCTGTCATGTCTAACGAATGTTTTTTCGGTCTTCTTAAACAGTCCTTTCGAGTTACTTTCGCTAGTAGAAACATCGATCAAAGGTCACGTTAACTGACAAAACTACTTTGCAACGATTAAATTGTAGCTATGTGCGAGAAAGGCAAAATTCCCTTGGGAACCTCTCTTGGTCCAAAGGGTAAACAGCTTCACGCAGGCGCAATTAAAGCGGAAGCAGCATTTTGTGGCTCCGGTTTTGTATTCTTCTAGACCGTCTGTTGCCCGGGTAACGCAGGTTCTGGGGACGAGATTGAAGCTGCGTCGACTTCAAAGGCTTAACGCAATTTTCGAAGGGCCACCTTTTCTCCTCCTCGATCAAAATGACGTCAAAAGGACGTTGTGCTCGCAGGGAGGTCAGTACTATGAAGTGCATTAATTACTTGTTATTACCGGGAAAAAACCTTAAAGAACCATTGATTATGAAGTTCGTAAAACTCTGTGTCATTCTTGCGACTAGAGAAGATAATGAGTCGTAAAGACTCTTAAAAAAATCATCTTTATAAGTTGCAAATTACAACGAAGAACAGTTTGCGTTGAACTTGACTTTTTTTTTGCATGATAGTAATAATGATAACTCCCCCTTTCTTGTCACACTCATATGATTATTAGAGACCAAACTGGACTCCATTTATGCAATAATAATAATAGTAATAATAACAGCAACAATAACAATACTAATTAGCAATTTTTGGATGAGACTAAGTATGATATGAAGAATAATGCAGATCGTCAACATTCTTCTTATCGTACAAAAGTTGAATCCAGTAATTGTTTTATTATTCATCTGCCTGTTTTTCGACAGCCATTCTAACTATGGTTTTAGCCCGTAGTTCGGCTATTTCCTCTTCACATTAGGAGTTAAATCGTCCACCTTTTTCTCCAACTCTTCACTATCAAAACAGCTGGGCCACCGCGCCTTCTGTTGTCTTCTTTTCTTTCAATTGTACGTTAAACTGACGTCATTGTTTTTAACATATCCCCAAAGGTCTTCTAAATGTAGCTAGGGGGATTTTTAGGCTGAGCGAAGCAGCATATAAATGGAGTGATTAAGCGTTACCATTTAAGTCACAAGAGTGACCAACATCAATTTTCTCCCTACAGTACCAATATATATTCAGAGAAAAGTTATGAGATTTTAAAACTTGATCACCCAAGGGAATATGTTTGGATCTTTTTTCAAAATCTCTCAACCATTTATTTAAGAAAGCAGTCTGGGGAATTGGGGCTAAAAGATTTAATTAGACTGTCATGCTATAGCAGAGCGTGGTAGTATTGACATTCTCAATGGCTTATGCTGCCAAAACCTTAAAATGCTGCTTTAGCTAAAATTCACTGATTCTCAACCAGTGCAGGGTCGACATTTACCTCAATGCGTTTTTCTTCTTTATCTTATTGGTGATATTACGATATTGTACACTTTGATAGCTGTTAGCAGTTTCGATAGATTGTAATGTAAATAGAGATACTTGTGTCTAACTCGCCCCTATTCATCGCTCGTTCTTCTGGCGCTGTGGTGCATAGAAGTTTCCCACAACACCTTTCGCTCGTTACTTTGCGTGTTGAGCGCCCTGGGGAAGAGGTAGAATAGTTGAAATATTTTAAAGATAATTAAAAGTATTGTTGATAATATCTGTTGTTAAATTATTAAAAAGAGAACGGGTAATCGCAAAAGGTACCTAAAAATAGGCAAAAAAGCAATAATTTTAGAATAAAAGAACTGAACTTAACATGTTAACGCTTCTTTTCTTAATCAAGAGGAAACTTTTGTTAGTGCTATTTGTCTTGGTCTCTTTCTTATCGAGCACAACGTTTCTACCCCTTACTCAGCGTTATGTACTTGTTATGGGCTTTTCCTAAGGGTAGGACCCGGGCAAACCAGGGTGAGCAAAGTTGACAATTTTCCTTAGGGGAGAAGGAATTCAACAAGACAAATTCGCTTGGGTCAAGAGCTTCTCACAGAAAAATACCTCTGATTCCCCCGTTATATAACTGGGACTTACTTGATGCGTAGCTGACGCAATTTCTCTCCCGCACTTCATGACACAGTTGGGAGAGAACGGAAGAGAGAAGTCTCCGCACCGTCCAAGGAAGCTGTCAGGCTAACGCAAGACCAAGTCTTCGGTTCAGCCGGCCAAGTTTTCGGGAGCGTTCCGAGAAGGGTTAGTGGGTGGGTATTCTCGCTCTGTAGGTATCTGCCATCCCAAAGGGTATGGTTTTTCATCCGCGCGCGTTTTGTAGGAAAACGGTTCCAAGGAAACCACGAGGGGGTAAAAACGTACTTTTTCTTTCAACTCTAAATGAATCAGAGCGTTTAGTTCCAAGACTTTACTTTAGGATAGTAGCATAGAGTAGAAGTTTCAGAAGTAAGGTATGAAAACTGCTGTGGAAAAAAGCATGTTTTGGTCTGAGATAAGGTTAGGTGTCAGGGGCCGGTTAGTTTATTTGGTTAATATATATATATATATTTTTTTTTTTTTTTTTTTTTTTTTTTTTTTTTTTTTTTTGGGGGGGGGCCCTTCCCGCTAAAGAAGCGGAGCTTGCTGCGCAGATTATGAAAAAGCGGCCCGTGAGCCGGGCGGTACACCCTTCTAAGGCCTCGTCCACACGTATCCGGATATTTTTGAATCCGCAAATTATTTTTGCGGATTCAAAAATTTTCACGTCCACACGTATCCATATTCAAATCGAATTTGCCCGTCCACACGTATCCGGATTCACCCGCAGTTCGTCAGCTAATTTGTGAAGCGATGTTCGGCGGATGCGAAAATTTTATCGCCTATCTTCTTCAATAACTGTTTCACTGACAAAACTGTCCCAACAAGCACTATTTCGCTCATTTTACTTGTTTACGGCGTCCAATTCGTCCGGTCCGACGTGGAAAGAAGCTTCAAAATGTCGAGCCAGCGTTTGGCATAATTGAAGT